CTTTAGGACTGAAATATAGTATCTCTGAGCAAACCAGAATTTTTCTACAGATAAAGTGTTGTAAAATCTCTTAGAATTTAAATGGAATGAAATGTTCATAATTGAATTTTTTTCTATCAAGTTCTTTAAATCTGTGATTTCTCCCACTACATTTGCAGAATAAAAGGACATTGGATTGAACACAGCTGAGTCTATTTTATGGTTGTAAGAGTAATGGATTAATATTGCATGGTTTCCCACCAAGGTTGCCAGCCTGTTTGTGGTCTGACATTTGAATGATTTTCAGAACCAGTGCCCTCCGGCACTCTTTTGTGCTGGTTGATAATGTGCGGTAATAGGTTCAGATAGACTAATTTGCACCTAAGTGATAGCTAATATATCTTCCTCCCAGGTAGTATTTAACTTGATTAAAATGGACAGGTCAACATAAGGCAATTCAAATGGGAATTTCAAGCACCACTGAAAGCTAATTGGGCAAGACAAAGCTTATAAGGAAGAAATTCCATATACTTGGAGTTGCCAAAATTGTAAATGGAAGCTCAGAAAAATGATATTTACATCAAATTTGAGACAAGCATTTTGACTCTGCTCAGTGCACGCTGCCGAGGGAGCTGATCACTGAGGAGTTTTACTTCCACTGCTCATTTGCAAATAGGAAAAAACCTTTCAGTTGATTACTCACGTAATGCGATCACATGTTCCACATATTGAAAACAATTATATTTGATGGAAAGAGTTAAGTTAAAAGTATATATAATTATATATTAAACTTTCTTTCCTTTATTTATTTTTAGAGAGAGAAAGGGAGAGGGGGAGAGAGAAATAGAAACATGGATGGGAGAGAACATCGATTGGCCGCCTCCTGCATGTCCCCCACTGGGGATCGGGCCCACAACCTGGGCATGTGCCCTGACTGGGAATCCAATCTGTGACCTCTAGGTGCATGGGTCTACGCTCAACCACTGTGCCACACTGGCCAGGCATAAAATTATATTTTTCTAACAGTTTTGTCCTGAATAAAAAGAGAAATAAGCAAACATATTATCAAGACATGTAACACTTGGGTGAACAAATCTAATATTAATACAGACCCTGGTAGGTAACTGTATTGGGGAAGAGAGGAAAGGTTGAGATCCCCACAAACCTGAGTGTGAATAATTTCTCAGAAAACAGTCAGATTTATTTTTACAAACAGTATTGTGTGTCAAATGAAACATTCTTATGGGCAATGCTATGTCCACAGAGTATCGGTCTGTAACCTGATAGAAAATTTCAACTCCAAACTTTCACTTAATTTGTAAATATGTTATTAAGTATAATAAATGTCATCTAGTGTAATTGTAAGGACTATCTTATAAGATCAATGAGTAACTATTTAATAAATTCTTTTTCTGGCCTGATTATATTTTACTCAAAAAACCAATTTTGATCACAGATTTTTCTCCACAGCTATTCTAATTTTATGTGATTATAATTGCTCATTGTTTATGAGATAACATGCCTTCCACTAGTGCAGAATTAGATTAAACTAAGTGCTTGACTCTTTTAACACCTGACTCATCTACTCTCTCTCATGAGGAAGATTTAAATGAGGTGTGATTTTTCTTTTTGATTATATATCATTAAAAAGAACTGTGTGTTCGCGCGCTCTCTCTCTCTCTCTCTCGCTCTCGCTCTCGCTCTCGCTCTCTCTCATGCATTAGCTAGAATTATCCTCAACAGATAACTTTGTCTACCACTGAATCTTGCTACCTTTGTTTTACAAACTATCCAAATAAGTTCTATAAAGAAAAAAAATGGTCAGATTGTGGAAGATGCCAAGACACAAGAGGTCTACACAGGAACGTCTTTCAAAAGCGAACAGGAACAAACGACAGTGACATAAATAGAACTGCTGAGTGGTTGAAGTAATCATTCTATTTTATATCAAGTAGTTAAACAAAGGAAAATATCTCCATATCCATATGCTCTTCTTGTATTCTTAAACATGTCAGAAATTAGATAAACAAGTGGCCAGAATTAAAGTGAAAATGAATTCATCATCTGCCAGACTTCCAAAACTTTTCTTTCTCTTTCTTCTCTCCTCCCCACTCCTCTCCTGACTTTCTTCCTTTCCTGTTCCTATGGGGACACCATTGGCCTACCAGTCAGACAAGTCCAGACTCCCTTTGAAATTCTTCATATACGCTGATGCTCAAGCTGTTTTCGTGGCATTAGAAGCACTGCCACAATCTGGCCCCAAGATGTCAAATCTCCCAGTACCCAAAGCCACTGGAAAAATGACCTATTTTTCTTTCCGGGTATTCTTGATTGTATTCTTTCTGTTTTAGGATATATTTTTTTCTTTCTTTCCATTGGATTGCAGAACAACCAGATCACTTGACTGCTTTCTTCTTCTAAAGTCCTTCCACAACACTCTGTCCATATTAATGCTGCCTTTTTTGCTTCTATTGTGCTTAGCTTTTGCACTTTCCCCATATTCTTTCTTGAATATCAGTATGGGTGGGTATGTCTTATGTTCCCTACTAATTAGATTAATCATCTCATCATTTAAAAAAAATTATTTTGTTACCAAAGAGAATGTTCGGAAACACCGTGTACTAAAGAATCTATTCATGGCATTGTTTTATAAAAGTTGCTAATTAAGTGTGAATATTACATTTTATGATGTGTCCTTCATGTATTAATGAGGAGCGGATGAACTGATGCAATTTCTTAATTTGAGCTGAAGCTGGTTCGTTTTTGTAATCTGATAATCTTTAGAATGACTTCTCTTTAAGTGCTAAGTCCTCAATAAATGCTTCTTAACTTCCTAAAATCAACCAATCTTCAGAAAACTTTGTGTTTCTTAACTAGAAAATTATTAAAAATTAAAGTGCCTATACTTTTAAATTTGTAGGTGTAAGGGACCCGGCTTAGACCCTGGAGTTCTAGGACCCAGAGGCAATTGGCCGGATTTCTGAGACAGGGTTATTAGTGATTATGATCTCAAGTTTTGGCGTCAGACCTCAGTGAGACATCTTGGCTGTCAATTGAGGAAACAAAAAATTTCAAAATGCAAGGAGGTTATAAAATCCAAGATCTTTGCACGATGCCCAATAGTCGAATCGAAAGTGTTGATCAGAAGCAAGAGCTAAAACAAGGGTTCAACTTCAGGAGTCTGAAAACCAAGTCAGTGCAGATTTTTACTTCATCTTACTTATTGTTTGTCTTATTGATTTATGTTTTCTTAACTATGTGTCAAACACACTGCATTAAACTTGTTACATTAGTATTCATTATAATTTTCAAAATACTCCATGAGATAAGTGCTATTTCTCTGCCACCTTGCAGATGAAGAATCTGATACTAAGAGACTGAGAAAGCTATCAGACATGGCAGTGATTCGTGGCAAAGCCTGACAGCTTACTCAAGTCTGACTTCAAGACCCGAGTTCCTAATCACCTGTAAGCCCTCCTCAGAAATCTGGGCCAGATACCTGCAATCAAAGCTGTTATTGTGGCTTGGATTTTTATCTGCCAGTTAGGTCATGTTTGTAGATGATAGAAAATGGCCTGTTGATCAGTTGGCATACCCTTTTGCTGAGGTCACACACACTCTGGAGCATCTTTTGGAAAGAAGTTGGGTTTAAAAACTAGACCATAGCCAAACATCTGGACCATAACCTTCTTACCATACAAGTGTTGGTTGACCCTGTTCTACTATGCAGCAGGCTTTACCTCTTCAGTCGTCCAGTCCACATTTGGAGCAAAGAGCTATAATAAGGCAGGATACCTAGAAGAAGGACATATATACATGACATGTATGCGTGCGAGGGTGTTAGAACGCAGGGACCACTTCAGCTATTTTACAAGACTCAGGGCGGCAGGTCCTGGTTTGCCTCAAGGTTGGTTTGTATATGTTGTGATAAGAGACAGATGTTATTTCTAATGTGTGTACCCTCAATCTATCCCTTGTATATGGTTGACATATGTATTAGGAATTTTCAAGAATTTTTTTACATCAAAACAAATTTGGTTTTTAGTGAAATGTTGGAGAGAATAAACTTGAAGCTATCACAGTGATATTGATAACATGGCTAGAACAGCTGAAGGGTTGTATCCTACTGTTGTTTGAAGTTGGGATCATAATACCTCCTCATGCCTTTGGGGACTGGTGTTGGCCCCAGCACTGGCATCAGATGATTTCCTTCACTGCAGCATCTTGTAGCCTAACAGTAGCTTCAAACTTCCCTGTGAGGTGTGCCTGTTTCCTGGAGAGACCGCAGAGGGCCTCTTGAGCTATACTTCATTACTTTCCCTTCCAGGACCGAAGGCTGACGTCATCGTACGGCTTCACGTGCTGTACACCCTGTAAGCTCTCTCTGCTTACTTCTGGGTCGCTGGCCCTGCACTGCGGGGAGGGACTGATCGACTACTGACATTGTACTGGACCCGTAGCTGACTGGGTTTTATCTTGTGTGACAGGATGCCTTTGGAAATTTGACTAAAAATATTCCATCAACGTATTTTGAAGAATGCTCTATGTTTTCTTCTCTCTTTATCCATAGCATGAATCTCTTCCTATTATATAGTCTAATAATTTTTCATGTTGGGCTCTCCCCTACCTGCTCGAAGTAAATTTCACAAGGACAAGGATTTGTGTCTGTTTACTTCACAGAGGTAACCTGGCACACCTAAGAGGTTTAGGATTCCTGACTCTTTCAGTAATCGCCTTTTCCCCAGAATATAGCTTCATTGAAAAGCTTGCCCTCAAACATGGTCTCTGGTTATGACCGACACTATGGCTAAAGAAGCCCCAAGATACTGCTTCCTTAACATGGGTGTGGGGGCCCACCTACACCCATGCTTGAAGCCATGTTCTAGTAAGGTAGGGTAGAATGGGTTAGGGCATGTCAAGTTTCTTAGGGATGCTAAAACAAATAGTCTGGGTGGACTGAAAAACACACATTTTTATTTGACAGGTTTTAGAGGCCGAAAGTCCGAGACCAGGGTGCCAGCATGGCGGGTCTGGTGAGCGCCCTCTTCCAGGTCGCAGACTGTGCAGTTTCTGTTGTATCTTCTGTATGGTAGGGGGGCTCTGGGTACCCTTTTATAGAGCACTTATCCCATCTTGAGGGCTCTCCTTTCATGACTTCATTATCTCTCAAAGGCCCTGCTTCCTACTACAGCCACATTGTGGGGTGGAGGGTAAGGATTTCAACATCTGAGTGTTGGTTGCACACGTACATTTGGTCTTTACCAGAATGGGGACGAACATAACATTTTCAATTACTAGAGTATCATAGATGTCACTGGGGACCAGACTAGTCTCTTTTCTTGCATGTAGAGGTCAGTTATTTCACCTGGGTGGTGTCAAGTTGAGTTATGGACTGTTTGTGTCTTGTTGAAAACACAGTGAACTGCTGGAAACCCTTTTTTATTGTAGAGTCTCCCACACTTGTATACTGGCGCGGAGTACTCTCTTTACTTGTTGACGATGTAAAGTTCCACCTATAATTATACGCATTTCTTAAGAAGTGCCATGGATCCAAATGCAAAGACCAGAATCTCACATAAGCCCAATCTAAAAAACAGTTTGCAGTATAATTCAATTTGCAATAGAGATTCAAGTACTACCTTCTAGAAGAAGTAATTTATCTGTACTGGAAATACCTGTGATCACCATCTGGAGGAGATTGTGCATACCCTGGAAGTCAGCTTCATGAAACCTTACAGAAAAGCTAGTGACCTTGAGTGGTGTGTACTCAGCACACTGAGAAAGGAAGAGTCCTGTGTTCTTTACTAAGAGCACAGGGGCATCTTTGATGAGATCGTTTTGTAGTCCCTCCTTTGATTTTTTTTTGTATTGGACCTGCAGCCTTTGGTATTTTTAATCAAGCTGCTAAAGTTGAGTAGAACCCCATAGTGCATTAAAATGTCCAGTCCTGTGAGCCATTATTATAGGCTTTCTGCATGTAGGAGCATATCTTTGTACTGTTCTAAGCTTTCAGATATACAGGTCATGGGGAAAAAAAAAAGAAGAAAGAAACCGCTTGTCTGAAATTGCCATTAAACTGTGAACTCTTTTGACTTGTAAAATTAAGTGATGGATTGAGTTGGAATACAACCAAATTTCTCTGGAGGTTAGGCACAGAGGCTGGTCACTGGAGTAATTACAGTCGACAGCCCAATGCTCTTTTCCATCAGTTAAGTGGAAAGTAAAGTATACTATTGACATGATGTTATCTCCCATTCTAGATCGGAGATGGAAGCTTCAGGAAGCTTTGACACCAAATAAAATGGACTGTAGAATCTTTGTGGCTATAATTAGGACAGGTCGCTTGCCAGGGGAAACTGCAAGAGCCCCCAAATATCTAACAGTGTCTTCTAAATGTTTACCACATCAGATGGTACAAAAAATAAAATCTAGAGTCCTGAAACCAGAGATGTAAGAGAAAGAACATGCAACTGTTGATTTTTATGAGCCAGCTACACTCACACGTGTTTGGTAGGGAGGGGGGAACCTACCACTTATGTAAACTGTTATTGGGATGAAACTTATATACATGCATCATCCCTCTGTTCTTGGTTTGGCTGCATTTGTGGGGCTCCATTCAGTTTCCTGACCTCTTGGATTGGTGTTTAAAGGGACTAGGTGATACCGTTTAAAGGCGCAAGTGCAGGGTAGAATCACATAGCAACTTAGGCAGTGAAGTTGAACATTACAGAGTTCTAGAATGTGCATTGTTTACGGTCAGTGTTCTAATGTAAAGTACATGCATTTGATACGTACTAGGAGTACTTTCTTCAGTACTACCTTCCCAAGATAGCATCTGTGTGGCTGGTAGAGAGGCAAAACCTGCTTATGAAAGCTAGTAGGTATTGGGAGGACCCTTGGATACATGCTTATCCTCTGGTATTTGGTTTAGGATCTGGTGGGGTCCCTGCCCCCTTGAACGGGTGTCTTCAAAGACATTTCTGGTGAATATGTTCTTTGTACCTAAGACTTCATCAGGGACAAGGGACTCTCTCATGCTGCTTCAGGTCCAAGTCGATTGCTATTGGTGATGACTCCTGAGTTAGCTCACATTCTCTGTTCTACTCCTGGCTGGTATGTGACTCAAGACCAGTCAGTTACCTCCCCCCGGGGAATCCCCTTCTCCATGAGCCTAATGGACGAAGCTATTGTTTGTTACATCAGACCTGCATGGATTTGGGGACATTACATGTTCCCAAAACACACAGGAGTTAAAAACCCCCTCAATAATACCAACCCTTGTTCTCTGTGTTTTTGTCACACTGATTTTTTTTTTTCTTTGCTGCCTCAGGTTGATGCACAATCACCATCTATGTGGAAGCTTCACCCTGTTTCTCTCTCTCTCTCTCTCTCTCTCTCTCTCTCTCTCTCTCTCTCGTACACACACATACACACACAATCATGAGGCCCACTTTCTTTGATTTTAGCTTTTATTTCAACCTGTGGAAAACACCTCTGTTTTTTCGCCCGAGCTAGGAAGCAGTGCTATAGAAAAATGAGTCCTGGCAACTCCATAATTTTCATCTCTCTTTTGATCCCCCCAGGTCTGTGGGAAGAGGGGCAGGTTCTCTGCTCTCCTCCTGTCTGGAAGGCATTCCCTCAGGTCATCTGTCCCCCAGTTCTGACTAGGTACCCAATCTGCTCCTGCGCTCAGATCCTTCAACAAAACAGCACCAAGTGTTTTGCAAATCCAATGTTAATTCAGGCTGGGGACTAGTAGTTTAAGCACAGATCCCTCTCTGCATTATCCCGAGGCCTTCAGAAACCGATAAGCCTTCTGCATCTCTCCTCACCTGTGAGCTGAGATCCGTTGACTAGAGACCCTACAGACACCTTCAAGCTGTATGAATCGAAGATTCCGAGATGACTTAAATGCGTTAACTGGAAAAAGGTTTTCTCTATATTTAGCTAGCCAACCTAATTTGCCCCTTTAAATTTCTCTAGCTTTTCCTCCATATTTCTATGAATGCATCAAAATAAATCCTTTGTAAAATATGCCTTTTTAAAATAGTTAACCTTAGTATTAAAAACATAAATGTCCCTGGCTATAATATAAAGTTATCCTACGATTGATTTAAAGGCCTAAGAAACAGAACCGTTGTTGACTTTGTAAACATATAAATTGTTTATTTCATGAAAGTGGAAATTTTTCAGCCGATGCAATACTTTTCTTGTGGTTACACAACAGCGTACATTGTATATGTGCTCAAGCAAATCTACTCGGTGGTTCCATTGGTACATGGTCACTCAGTGAGCCAGTCAATTAATGAGTACACAGTTACATATCTCTTTAAATTCTAAATGTTAGTTTTATTCTAGTAATTATTGTTACCATGTGCTTCTGAAAACCTTAAACACATTATGACACATGCCTTGTAATATTCTTTCAAAATTCCTTATTTAAATGAGTATACTTCTAAAAATATGTTGCACTCTATAACATAAAGTACTTTTGTTATAATACTTCTGTGATATTTTCCCTGAGCAGACAAAATTAATATACTCTCTCACTAATGGTGACATCTCTCATCGGTTCCTCATTTTAGTACTTCTAATTAAAACGTGTTTGTCCCGAAAGCTGAGGAAAATGTGTTTCTCTTCCTTTTTGCATTAATTTAGAGTAGGCTTTGTGATATGCGCATGTGATATTTCACGTTCTCTAACCATGTATATCAAGGCAGGCTGGTAGGCAACATGGGTGCTGATGGCTGAATCTGTAATACACCCAGGAAAGGAAGGCAGGGGAGACAGTCCGGCTGAACTGTCTGAACTGTCGTGTGACAGATGTTTGATTTCTGAGTTGTCAGATGTAAATAAGGTTTAGGCAAACCTCAGTCTGGAGAGAAACCTTACACACTTGGGGTAGACCAAACCCTTAGGCACCCAGAGACTTAGGAATTAGGCCCATTGCAAACACTTTCCCAAAATTAATTTACTGCTGCATATTATTTCAGCGGTTGCAATTTTGCAGGATGTTCTATTCCAGTTTCATCAAGGCAGCTAATAACTTACATGTCTAAGTGGTGCCTGTTGAAATAAACTTGAACTGGATGGAGAACTTGGATTTAGCTGCCTGTTCATGAGATTGTAGTTTTAATTAAATGTCATACTCGAAATAAGTGATGAGCGTGCTGTTCCTGGCCTGGCGGTGGACTCCAGGCCCAGCTACAGCACTCAGCCCCCAGATGACAGTCCCCAGTCCAACTGGCGCCGGGGTTGTGTTCAACTTTTATTTACATTGCTGATACGTAAAAAAGGATCAACTTTATAACTAAAGTGTAGGAAAGATCATCACATTACTCTCTGTTTTATAAATAGTAAAGTACAATAAGTAATTATTTTACTTTTATGAATAAACTGTTTTGATGAGTATTTATGCAGTAAACTTTATTGAAGTTATGTTTGGGGTTGCAACTTTTATATCCCCTTCTAAAGCTTATGGTATGTTATTCATTCAAACTGTGTTTCAGGAGAAAAATAATTTGTCGTTTCTCACAACAAAAATATATTTCCATTAGCATAAGCTTCATGTCAAAAGTATTTCCTTTTTTGTATGATGTATTATTCACTTTATGCTCTCGGTCCACACGGGTTTTTAGATGTTTGACATAGGGAGAGTCTATGCACGCGTGATTAATTTTGCTTGGTGCTGTGGTTCAGTGACAGAGGAGAGTGCAATGAGGATAAAAGATACTGCCTCACCGTTGTGGTCTTCCCACACTCACTGTTTCCTGGCATTTCCTCGCAGAAGCCCTCACAATCACATTTAGTTTTTTCTTCCCTTTTGAACCCGGTTTGCTCTTGTTCCCATTCACATTGCCTCATTTGAACATTCGTTTTTGAATCCTGGTCATTTGGAGGGCATTTTTGTTCATTTTATTTCCTCATGTGAAATACATGTTTGAATTAAAGCACACACACACACACACACACACACACACACACACACACACAATAACTGAACAATCACATGATAACAGATCTTTTTCTCAAACTCACTTAAATATGCCATTAATTTAACTTATGGAGATGTTTGTATATTCAGCAAGATATATGTTCTCAAAAATAGAATACACTGCAGAGAAGAAAAATAGATTTAAAACTGCTTTTTATTGGATTCAGCCACTAGAATAATCATGGAGAGATATAAATAAGAACTTTCTCATTCAGTTTTATTTTATTTTATTTGCAATAGTATCACTCCATAGATGCACTAATATTTTAGTAGACTCTTTACCAGACACTGTGCTAGAGGGACAGATGAAGATAAGGAAGGTATGCTTATTTTTTCAGACAGTATATAGCTCATTGGAGAAACAAGCATATGAACAAAGTCAAGCATCCGTGAATTGCTACTGGGATATAGTACAGAAATTCAAAACAAACAATCTTCCTTTGTTTTAGATTATTGTAAAATAAAATAGCAGTAAATGAACTTGAATGAGGGAATATAATGCCTTTTAGAAAATGTACAAATTAATTTTTGCTTATTAAAATCTTAAAATTCTTAGCCCAGCCAGTGTGGCTGAGTGGGTAGTAAGCATTGACCCATGCACCAAGAAGTCGCTGGGCACATGCCCAGGTTGTGGGCCCTATCCCCAGTGGGGGCATGCAGGAGGCAGCCAGTCCATGTTCTCTCTCATCGATTTTTCTATCTCCCTCTCCCTCTCCCTTCCTCTTCCTCTAAAAAACAATAAAGAAAAAAATGTTTTTAAATCATAAAATTTTTAAACACTTTAGTACAGTTTATTAAGTGTTCTAAGAGGAAGAACTGCAGGATTTTAGAAGATATTGAAGAGTGCGGTTTACTGCCTGAAGGACTCAAATGAGTTCTTAACAGGAAGTTGGAGGCATGTCCTGATGAGAAAAAGGAGGAAGGCAACATTGAATAAGGAAAACAATGCAAAAATAAATAAACATGAAAGTGGACCTGTTTGCAAAGTTCCCTGCTCAACTATTGTGTGTGTTTTATATTGATGGGTTTTGTTTCCATGCCTGGAAAGTGGCAGGAAATAAAGTGGAGCAAAGTCAGGTCCTGGCCAGATGGTGAATGACGTTAGGTGCTAGGTGTGAAGGGGTTTGGGTGTTATTTACACATAATGGGAAGTATATGTGTATTACAGCATGGTAATTATGTTGGATTGTCATAGCCCAGCCCAGTGCTGATCATATATTAAAGTGCACATGGATCGGTTGGGGATCTTGTTAAATTATAGACTGTGATTCAGTCAGTATGAAATGGGACCTCAGCTCCCACATGACAGAGGAGCTCCTAATTGAGGCCCATGGTATTGGACTGAGGACCACTTTGTAAGGAGCAATTGTTAGTTAGCACCTGGAATCTATGTGAAATAGAAAATGCAGGGCCCTACATCAGATATATTAAGTTAGAATATACAAGGGTGGGGTGAAAACTAAATACACACATGCAACAGAAACACACACACACACACACACACACCCTCAGATTTCTGAGGAACCGTAAACCCCAGACATGACCTTGCCCAGTTTTGCAGACCGCTCACTGCACCAGGCCAGTGATGCTGAGAAATGAAACAAAGCCAGTGAGCATGCACGGCAAAAGCAGATTTGAGAGACATTTAAAGGAAAATTGAGTTGGATTTTGAGTTTCGTATTTGAAAGAAGGGAGGGTAGAAAATCTTAGATATTTCTATTTATGACAAATGTGCTTTAATAGCTAATAATAGCATAACTTAAGATAGAGAAAAAAGTATGGGGTAAGACAAGAAGAGAATGTTCTTGAGTTGTAATATGCTGACTTTGAGAAATATGAAAGTTTTTGGTAAAGAGGTATAATAAGTATTAGCAAATATGTTTACTAGACCTCAAAAATGATGAGAAGAAGAAACATACACATATACACACATTTGACCTATAATTAACATATAGAAGGTGTTGGCAAATGGAAGCCGAGTTTTGAGAGATTGCAGTGGGCCAGATTATACTGGGCGTTTTTTAATATATTCATAATAGGCATTAGCAAAGCAGTTAAGATCATAGACACTGAGCACAAAAGGCTGGATTTCCATTTGGCTTCACCACATATTGGATGAATGGCCTTTATCGGGTCTTGACACTATCCTTTGCCTCAACGTTCTCATCTCTAAACTAGGAATGTTAGTAGAAACTACGTAATAGGATTGTTTCAGCATTAAAGGAGTTATTTTAGGCACACTCTTTAAAACAGTGCCCAGCAAATAATAAACATCATATATGTTTCCGCAGTAGAAGAAGGTATATAGAATTCCAAGATAAGAAACAAAAGAGCTTACTAGGAAACACAGATATGTAAGACATGTGTGGAAGAAGAAAGTAAACAAAAACACACTAAAATGAGAGTGACCGGAAAAGTGAGTAGTGGATGTTTATGTGGGAGTCAAGGAGTTGGGGCAGATAGCGAACAGAGCAGGCGGCAGCAGCGCCCCGCCCTTGATCACATTTTTAAAGAAAGAAAGCTGACGATTGCGGCTGGATTGGAAAAGTATAAGGTTGTGGTTGACCTTTGGAAAAACAATGTATGCGTTAAATGAAGAGAACAGAAGAAAATTGTCATAGGATAGATAATAATTAGGGAACTGGAGAGTTCTCTCTCTCTCTCTCTCTCTCTCTCTCTCTCTCAGAAAATATTGTAATTAAGACAAGTAAGGATATACCATAGTAATTTGAGAGATAAGTGGGGAAAGAATGATTTTTCTTTCATATAATTTGGTTATTTTGTTTTATTTTTGTTTCATTATTTATTCTTTAGAATGAATGTGATTAGACAGTACCTGTAGCTTGACAAGAGGAGGCCAATAGAAAGGGAAGCATTAGTGAGGCAGACCGATTGCTCTTAAAAGCAACCAAGACATTTCCTTGACTTGGAATGAGAAGATTTAAAAGCTTTAGTGCAATATAAAAAAACATGGAGATTGAGGGGAATTATACTAAAAAGTTAAACTTTGTCTTCTTGGTAATCATAGGTGAAACAATTTATTAAAAAATAATGTTGACAAAATGTTCACAGTCATATTTTCTGATTTTAATGACAGAGTATCTCTACCTTAAATGATCCAAAAGTTCTAAATTTTCTTAAATACTATAGCAATTTCCAAAACCTAAAAGCCATCTTAAGCTGTTGTGATACATGGGGTTGAAAATTTAATAATAAAATGAACAATTAAATAATTATGTACATAATTCCCTCAAAGAAGATACCATTTTAAAATATGTTTTCAATGAAAAAAAAAAAAAAGGAGAAATCTTTTTCTTGTTTATTTGGTATAGTCAATAATCGATCATTTATAAGGACCTTCTATCAGTAAGACTCCTTAAGATTCTATAATTACTAGGTAAGTGCATTCGCCCTCCAATTCCATTGGTGTGGAGGCCAAAGGGAGGGAAAAAAAGTGCTTGCTTTAAAAATCTTACAAGTCATTGTACCAAGATAAATCAGTGCCCACAGTTGCCTCTGCATGGCTATTGGAATTTTAAGTGAATACAATTCTGCTTTGTGTCTGACGCGTAGTAGACTGATTAAGTTGTCAGTTTTTAAATGTCTGCAGGTGATAAAGTGACCGTTTTAAATGCCACTGTTAAATGCTGTATCAAACTGCAGAGGGCTCCTGGTCTCCTGATAGAACTTAAAAATGCTAGTGGCTTCATTATATTTATATTCGTGTAAATTAAGCAAGTCCCTTTTGAATACCTGATATTTGGTCTGCGTGCTTACTGAAATTATAAATACGAATTTAAGCTTTGTTATGATAGCGGTTACCTTTGTTAAAATGCCACCTGTGTTCTATTTTGAAAATCACTTTTGCTTATGAAATAAATCACAGCTTCATATTTTCTCCTCTGTTAGCTCTTTCACTGAAATTCTTCTTTCATGTTGGTGACCCTTGTTTCACTAAAGTAGAAAAATAAGAACATCTTTCACTTTTTACTTTTTCACTCAAGTTCTAATTGACCAAAAAATGACTCCTATTTTGAATGTTTTTGTTACATATATTCCTACCTTTCCATGTGCTTTGCCACAAGCCATCCCGGCTACTCGGTGTCATGTACTGAAAGTGTTTGTCCTCTTCATTCCATTTGTAAGTCAACCTGTCTTCTGACTCATCTTCACTAAATGTCATTTTTATGTTAATTTCTATTTATAAATAATTAATGATGGACAAAGGTTTGAGTACAGACATTTTACCATGGCTTTTGAGATCCTCTAACATCCTTTTAAAACTGTTTGTCCAAAGATGCTGTATTTCAGGAGATATTCTACACGAGATCCACCTCATCTTTATTGATCTACTTACTATTCCCTGAATGTTTCTTAAACATGTTGCCCCACTTGACCTGAAATAGTCTCCCTTTTTCTGTTTTTTTTTATTTTTATTTTTTTATTACAATATCTATCCCACCTTTTAAAAAAAGTTTTATTGCCTTTTATATAACCTTCTTGATTATAAATTTCAAAATGGCCATAATTGGTATATATGATCTCTTCTTATCATACGTGATTTTAGGTGTTGTTGTTTTTCCGAATAAAATGTAATTCCCTTAATGTAGGAACTTTGTTTTATCATTTTTGTATACTATACCATCTAAAAAAGTGATTTGAAAAATGCATATAATTAATAAATACTTATTTTGATAAAAAAAATATCCAGCTCTACTTTTTTAAACTCATCTTTATTGTAAAATGTATTACAGATGTCCCCTCTTTTCCTCCTTTGACCCCCCCTCCTCCCCAACCCCGCCCCCTCCTGCCTTCTCCACACTATGGTTGGTGTCCATTAGTTATGCACATATGCATAGAAGTTCTTTGGATTATCTCATCCCGCCCTCCCTCCCCCTTCCCTTTGAGGTTATCAGTCTAACAACCAATTTGTACTTCATAATTCCTTCATCTTTTTCACCCATCTCCCCAGCCCCTGCCCATCTGGCAAACAACAAACAGTTCTCTGTATCTATGAGTTTGTTTCTGTTCTACTTGCTCATTTTGTTTGTAGATTTAATTGTTGATAGACATGTACTAATTTTCATTTTATTGTTCATATTTTTGTTCTCCTCCTCCAAGAAGACCCTTCAACATTCCATGTAATACTAGTTTGCTGGTGATGAACTCCTTTTGATATTGCATGCATTTCTCTTAAAATAGTTCACAAAGGACATATATTTATCATAACTCCATTTTTTCAGTCTTTGGGTTTAAAACATTTTCTTACTTTGAATAACCATATCTTGTGTAGATAATGGCATTCTATCTATCCTCAACTCTAATACAAGAATATAATTTATTGATTGATATATAAGGAATGCCATCATTTAATCAATAATGCCCTTTATATGAAATGAATCTATGTAACATGATAGACTTCATTATTTTCTTCAAAGTCATTATATCCCAAATACACAAGAAAAGTAAAACATCCAAATCAGATTTTTTGGCATCCATGAATGCCAATGATATTATTATTTCAAACCCAAGCCTTAATAAAAATTCGGATTAGAAATGCTTAATATCATTTTTTTTTTTGTAAATGAAAGAAAGGCCCCATATTAATATCCACTTTCACTTCTTTGTGCCTAAATTGAAACATCAGAAATGACAAGGATCAGCTGGACAGATATCAGATATATCATTGCTGCCCTGTTTTGTCTGAACGCAGCTTTTGACTTTAGGAAAGTATTTTATTTATTTTGACAGTTGGGTCCAAGATGAGTCTGTTGGAGGTGGCCATGGCTCAACTATGATCATGGGAAATTCTAGATTTTAAATAACTAAAGCAGTAATTGAAGCTTGACCTTAAATTTTAGTTCTCCAGATTTTTCCTAATATTCATATGTTTTAATGTATCTGTAGAGATCAATTAGAGCAAATCTAGCCTTTGGTAAATGTAGTCAACTAGAGAAGTATGTGTTTTCTTGTATACTTTAATATAAAAAATATAGCAGTGTCATCAAAATGTTCATGAAAAATATGGTCCTGATATATAGGTGAATTGAGAGTTTATACTAAATGATAAAATTACCAAGTGTTATCATATAAATTAACTAATTAATTTTGAGCTAAATTTTATTTTGCTACAATTAATATGTTATTTATTATACTCATTGACAAATCAGTGCCTATATCTTTTAAGTTCTGTCTTTTCTGTAAACTCTTCCTTAGAAAAGCAAAACAAATATACTCCAAAGTCAAATATGGGAATTATTACATAATAATTGGTAGATATTTCTCAAACTCTCTGATACCCTTACATTCAATTCAAGGCAATGAAGTCATTCTGAAACTTTACATTGTTAACACGGTTGTGTAAAATAAGTTCTAGGTAAGTGTTTGTCCATTATTTTCCATGTATTCATACGTTATCAGTTTAGGAGAAACAGAAGTGAGGTTCATGAGCCTTCACTTCCAGGAATTTACATTTGAATTAGGCGAACTAAATATGATTATCAACAATATATGTTTCTTTGGTTTAATGAAAATGCCTCTTGATCAAATACATTTATTTGTTGATGCCATAGATGGGGCTCTCAAAGAATGTTTTGCAAAGTGATCGATATTTTAGTTTTGCTTTGAAGATAGAACGTAGCCAGACATGGAGATATGAGAACGGGAGGTGAAGGCGGAGGAAATAGTTTGAGCAAATGAACAGTGATGAGAATGTATGAGTCGGGAGAGAGGGTGGGGATGATTCATCGTTATCTATAGCTGCTGAGGCATTGGGAACAAAGAATTGGAAATAAACTTGGAAAGGTAAGTTTCTTTCCATTAAAATGTATACAATTATTTAAATTGGCCAAAGAAGATCCATTTTGAATACCTTTGAGTAGGCAAGTGAAATTCAACAGTTTTAGAAATTGATACATGTAGCAGCCTGAGAAATACCTCCATGAGAAAAGAGAATGAAGAGATGAAAGTCCGAAAAAATATCCAGAACTACATATATCACTGTCTTGGATTAAAATAAATATCTCACATTATAATTAATGAGTACATGTATTGGGGAAAGAGTGTTGGAAATAAACAAGAATGCATGCAAGTGATATTTCAGCGGTTATATCCTCAAGACTTGAAAATTGATTGGTGGTGACTAAAAATGGAACGTGAGTAATTTTTGATGGAAGAGGACTGGGTTCAGTTTGCACACCGATAATTTGAAATTAAAATACGCTATCTAATTGAATGCTAGCCAAGGGTTGGAAATTCGAGGATTAGCTTTTTGGGAATTTTCGGATGAAGATAAAAGAGAAAAGGAATTTAATGCCATGAAACAGAATAATATCTTATAAAAGAAAATAAAAGAAGGAAAGAAATGAGAAAAAGGAAAATACAATTTCCTTTTTCTTTCAACCGTATTGCCTCTTCTGCTTCTTTCCCTTCTATTCGAAGGTATGCCCCCAACTTCCCCAAACTGTAAAACCCCTGACCACGTTCCCAGAATTGTGGCTTCCGAAAACACCAGTCACATCTTACGATTCAAGCTTCTAATAAGGAAAATCTCAGATTCCTTAACTTCTGTAACTTGCCTCTGTTGACCCCATTACCCATAAACTAAGTTCACTTAGGGAATTAGTTACTTCTCAAAAGGAAAAGTCCTCTTCTGTGAATTCTCCCTGGGATTGGCATTGTTTATAGTTTTTAAATAGTCTCTTGTTACTTGATTCTACTATTTTTTTATGTTATTTCTGACTTCTGTGATTTTCTTAACATGTTTCTTTCTGAAATATTAGACTTAACCTGAATACCTGAGCCCCTATAATGTGCCAAGCATTGATTATTAAGGAATTATGAATAAAAATAGCACCCAAGACTAAGAGAAAAAAGAATAGCATGTTCCCGGATAAGTTTCCTGCAAAACAAGGAATTTATCAATCTATAATAGGGAATACAAGAAAACATATTTTAAAGAGCTTAAACATGTTTGACAAGTCTTTTTGAATTTTTTTTTTTCTTTATTGGTTTTAGGGAGCAAGGAAGGGAAAGGGAGAGAGAGGTAGAAACATCGATGAGAGAGAACATTGATTGGCCACCTCCTGCATGCCGCCCATTGGGGATTGGGCCCACAACCTGGGCATGTGCCCTGACCAGGAATTGAACCATTGACCTCTTGGTGCATGGGTCGATGCTCAGCCACTGAGCCGGGCCAGGCGACAAGTCTTTCTTGGTGACCATTTTCTTCCTTTCTTATATTTTTGATTCCACCGTTATTTTAAACATTTTCAACATAGTTATGTTACATTCTTAGTTTAATAACATTTTTGGAAATTTCCTGTTCCTACTTCATCTGGTTGTTTCAGATGACTCATTTCATGGTGACTTAGTATGTCTTTTATGTATTTTAGTATGTGTTTTATATACTTATACAAATACTTAGTATGTATTTTATCATGTCAGAATGTGCATTTGGGTTAACAAGAGCTTCATTTATAAACTTCTTGGGCAGTCTGGGTGATGAGGTAGCTCTTCTGAAGGAGATTCATAGTTGCTTATGTCACTTAGCTGTGAGCCTACCTGTGACACTGCTTTTCAGTTTAATTGTTCAGTTGGGGGTTCCTGAAGATCACCCGTTTATAGTTAAAAACCCAAATATGGGACATGTCTGATCAATGGCTAATCTACTTAAAGAACCGTTTTCCCTCTACACAGCCCAGGAGAGACAGCTTCCCTTGTCGTCATCCTGTTGCCGGGGGTTCGATTTATTCTTACCCTCCTTACCGTACGGATTAACTGTGTTCTGGTCCAGTGTTGCGTGGTGTTCTGTAGCACCCCCTTTTCTAGACAAGCTTGGGTTGAATCTCTTCGCCATCTGTGCACTTTTTGGTTACTGTGATCCACAGGTTCCCAGTGTTGACTTACACTCTAGTATTTAGATTTTTTTTTCTTTGTTCCCTTGTAGCTCCATTACTTGACCGAAAGCTCAACTATGCGTTTCTGGAAGCAAGAGATGGTCAGACAGGGTTTTAGGGAGTGGTCACACTCTCTTGTCCATCATGTTATTAAAAATATGTCTTTTAAATGGTGTTAAAACAATTTCAATTATCTTCCAAAATTCTAGCTTCTTCATCTGTTTTCTTGCAACTTTGAGGACAAATGTATTGAACAACTCATGTATTTTATTGCCATTGTCCTGGTTATTTTATTGATTTATTTATTTTGTCCATATAAACGTTCATTCCCCTTTCCCTGTGCCGTCTGCCTCTCTCCCCTGTGCTCGTCTCCTTTCATGGAAATGTCTAGTAGGTCGTCAGAATGTTATTGATCCATATTTTTATCATTGTGATAACAGAGAAGGATATGCTCTTAAACAAGGTTTCAAATTCGGGGCAAACATTTTCTCTAGCTATAGCACCTATAACCCTAGCATGTAAATATGGTACAGCTCTCTAAGAAATTTGTCATTCATCTACAAATTTCAAAATATTAGCTTGAATGAGCCCTTTGTTTTGTCTGGTTGTGGGTGTGTAATAAAATGTAACATTTTGTTGTTAGATCGTATTTTATAAAACGTTCATTTCTCTTAATAGTTAATACAAATTGGGGGAGATAATTGCTGCTTAAATCATGTGGTTTATAGATCATGTAATAAAGTCTTAGAATTCTTGTTTAGAACCATAATTAATTGTCACTCAAATATTTTTTTCAGCTCTTCTTCAAGTGACAATTTCACTTAGCAAAGTAGAGCTTAGTGTGGGTGAATCTAAATTCTTCACATGTACAGGTATGTACTATGAATATTTTCAGATAACTTGATTAATGCTTTAATTATTTAAAATAATATACTGGCAAAACTTAAGTTGTACAAAATCAGTTCTCTAAAAATAAAATCTTATGTTATCATTGGGTTTATAATAATTGGAACAGTGTCGATTACTATATTTTGCATATTAAATAAAACTAATTTTATTTCTTTTTTAAGTTATTAATTTTCACTGTCAAGCTAGCTCATTTATATTGAAAATAACTTATTATCAAGTATAATGTATACTCGTTAACTTAAATCAATTCAAGTATTACACCTGTCTAAGTAGTAATATTAGGATTAATGTAAATATTATAACTAATATTTTTAAATAGGCAGTGAATAAGTTAAATAATGTACACTGCACTGCAGTTACACGTGCTGAAAAATTTAGGACAAAACAAATCAAAATCATCTTATGAAAAGTGATTTTAAAAAGAAAATAATTATTTAATCAGGAAAAATTAAAAGATTTTGTGACTATTAATCAAAAGTATTAAATATCATAATGTCTATGGGACATTATATGGAGTTCATTCAGTTTAATCATGTACATGCAGAATTTTTCAGAAGACATTGAAATATTTAAACATCAACCCTGGCCTGTTTTGCTCAGTGGTTAGAGAATTGGCCCATGGACCAAAGAGTCACAGGTTCGATTCTGGGGATCGGTTGTGGTTTGATCCCCAGCCCTGGTTAAGGTAATTCTGGAGGCAACTAATCGATTTGTCTTGCTCACATCAATGTCTCTCTCTCTCTCTCTCTCTCTTTCTCTCTCTCTCCCTCTCACTCTGTCTGAAAATAAATGGAAAAATATCCTTGGATGAGGATTAAAAAAAAAAAAAATATATATATATATATATATATATATATATATTTAAACATCAAATTCTAGTTCATGTACTGAAGAACTAACAAATGAACATGTTCTACTACTATGTAGCTTCATCATATTCATTTTATTATAAAAAAATACTCATTTAGTGCCAGAATTGCTTATTATTTCTATTACTATTTATATTTAAGCAATTCAAACTGCATTTAAATAGGCATTTCTGATATAAAATGCATTGTAAAAGTTGTCTTGTGAATGGCATGGCTTATTCATTATTATTAAAATTATTTAAAATAAAAACAGTTACAATGACATAAATCATATTCATAATGGACATACTATATATTAAAGAATATTATAACTATATACTATATATTATATATTATATTATGTTATATTAATCACATCTTATGAAAAGCTAAGAGAGGCTATAATTTGTTTTAAATTATTTTTTTATTGATTTTTTTAGAGAGAGAGGAAGGGGGAGAGAGAAAGAGAAACATCGATGAGAAAGAACATTGACTGGCTGCCTCCTGCATGCCCCCACTAGAGATGGGCCCACAACCTGGGCATGTACCCTGTGCGGGAATCGAACCAACAACCTCTTGGTGCATGGATCAATGCTCAACCACTGAGTCACACCAGCCAGGCGAGGCTATGATTCTATAAACATTTGCCTTCATAAAAGTCTGAATTGATAGTTGTGTTGATTCATATTTTTGTATATTGACCAATGAAATAACAGAACAAGAGAGAGATTGGTTCAACCTCATTTATTATGTCAGCAGAGCTTTGGCATAAGAATATAGTGATTATTTCTAAATGTCGTTCCTATTTTATATACACAAATGCACAGATATATCCCATAATCACATTATAATGAAGTAGTTTAAAAATGAATTTTGAAAATAAAATGAAATAGTGTTATTTTCTTGGAATTGCATATTATGATTATATAAATTATATAATATAATTACTTCTGTATTTATCACATAAAGTCAAATTAAGATACAATTTAAAAGTATGAATTAATATCATTCTGTGATACTGACTTTTGCCCTTAATAATAAGGCAAAATAATTAAACTCTTTTTTTCTTTCATGTAAAGATGTATAACTGAGAGCTATACTGTTATCATGGAAGTGCCCTTATTTATGTTAAATATAGTAGTAAAATAAGAATCTAAAAATAAAGATGTAGGAAACCCATGCAAATCAGAAAGCTTGCATGTATTTTTTTCTAGTACGCTAGTGACTATGTTGACATGTCTCTAAAACTGCCTTGCACCCTAAAACACAATAACACAATATGCCTGAAACTCAGGGTATTTAGAAGGGAGTCAGATCCTCGGAGAACTAAATAAGAGTCTGTCATAAGTAGCAATAGAATTTTTCTACTACATTTTTTATATTCAAGAAAAGAAAAAATTCAGTTGTATTTACTAATTTCTCCAGTAGGCCATTCTTATCAATAAAACAACATACAAAATTTATTGTAAATTATCAATTATTAGAGATGCCAGGAAAAGAATGTATGATGACCACTCTATGCAAATCCAGAGTAAACTCTCTATAATAATAAAATTATATGCCATATTAGTAAGAATAAAAATATACAAAATATTTCACAGAATATCATCTATATTTTACTGTATAAAATGAGATTTTTGTATTGTTCAAGTTTAAAGTGATGCTCATTTACATTATTCTTTTGTGACATCTCTATAGAGAGGAAACTTTAAAAAACAACAACCAAATACCTGCCCTAAATTAGTTATGCTATAGCCACTATGGTGTTATGTATTTGTTCAGTGAAATAGAAAATAACATAACTGAGGTCCATTTCAAATGTGAACTTTCTTTCATACCTTTGCTCTAGCGTGTGTAATTTGATCTAGAAAGGATACTATTTTTTTTCCAAAGCGATTTGTTGGAACAAAAATAAGACGGAACAATTTTCTCTAAAGAGGTTCTGCAGATATTAGCTAACTTGATGCATTTTCGCCAATACTTTTAAGTTAGTAGGGTGTACTGATTCCACAAATCATCTCTCCAGTAATTAGGGGAAAAACATCCTTTTGGTGACTAAAAGCAAAGACAGGAAGCTTCAGCCTTTACAAAGAGGATAATAACCTACATTTCCAAATTGGAAAACTTAAGTATATGTTTACCCTGTAATGATTAGGCTGTAATTGCTTGGCAGGATAAGTATCATTTTAATGCATTCTAATCATCATATGACTAAATAGTTAACAGTTTTAGATGAAAGTGATGAAAGTACTGATTTCAGTTGAGAAATGAGATTAGGGCTTCATATTAAAAATAGTCATTGGCCTTATCTGTACAAATGTAATGACTGGGGATATTAACTCAAAACTTAGTATTATCAAAAACCAAAGTTAAGTTTTTATAAGATTTACATTTTTATGAGCTCTGCTTTCTCAGGGAAAAAGTTCTAACTCCTGACCCCTAGCAAAGAGAACTGAATAGGTGAAATCAGGTTACTAATTGTGTTTCTGTTCATATATATATATGTATATATGTATATATATGTGTGTGTGTGTGTGTGTGTATGTATATATATCAATCGAAGTATAAAGTATAATTTATGTCTGACTCAGAGGCCAAGGAAGTTTTATAATTTAGTGTAGTGAAAATCCATAGATTACTTTGGTAAATATTCAACTATCATAGCTTAAATATTGTACCGGATGTTTCCTATAAAACTTTAGGGTTTTACTTACTGAACGTTGGATAAATAAGATGAGCATGTGTTGTAACATTTGTGTTTACTTCCAATTTTGTAAGATTTTCAGATTTTCCTATTTACATTGTTTTCTAAACTGTTAAAACGTGTTACATAATAAGTAAATGCCAATGTGAAAACAAGCTCTTGAATCCTATTTTCAAACATTTCTTTCCCGTGACTCTGCAGCAATTGGTGAGCCTGAGAGTATAGACTGGTATAATCCTCAAGGAGAGAAGATCATTTCAACACAGAGGGTAATGGTGCAGAAGGAGGGTGTCAGGTCACGATTAACCATCTACAATGCAAACATAGAGGATGCAGGGATATATCGTTGCCAAGCAACAGATGCCAAAGGACAGACACAAGAAGCTACAGTTGTTTTGGAAATTTACCGTAAGTCGTGTATTTATTAACTTATTAAAATTATAGTTATGTAAAAATTCAAAAATTGAACTTCCATTTGACCCAGTGATCCTGCTTCTAGGAATATACCCTAAGAAGCCTGAAACACCAATCAGGAAGAATATATGTACCCCCATGTTCATAGCACCACTATTTACAGTAGCTAATATCTGGGAACAGCCCAAGTGTCCATCAGTAGACAAATGGATAAAAAAACTGTGGTACATATACACAATGGAGTACTATGCAGCTATAAGAAAGAAAGATCTCTTATCCTTTGAGACAACATGGAGGGACCTGGAAAGCATTATCCTAAGTGAAATAAGCCAAGCAGAAAAAGACAAATACCACATGATCTCACTTATATACGGAATATAACGAACATAACAGTCTGAGGAATACGGTAGACCCAGAAACATGGAAGTAGGGCATAGACTGACATCCCTCAGAAGAAGGGTTGGGGGTGGGGGGTGGGAAGAGATAAACCACAGAACTTATATGCATGTATGTATAACCAAGGGACATGGACAACAAAGCTGGGGATGGGGTGGGGGTGGGGAGGAGGGTATCAATGGGGTTAAAAGGGAGAAACATCTGTAACAAAAAATAAATTAAAATTTAATGAAAAAAGCAAACAAAAAAAATTCAAACAAAATAAAATGTGTTTAATAAAAACACTCATTAAGAACTATGTACTAGGCAATGTTCTAAGACCTTTACAGATAGCAGCTTATACCTATTTTATGATAGTGCATATCTAAAATAGAATAAATGTTAGGGAATAATTGATCACAAACATACAGATGGAGCCAAAGATGTTGGTTAAATAATTTAGATGGAAATGTTTTAATTTTCCTGGAGCCAGTAAGAATCTGCTGGGTAAATAGCAGTAGTTCATGTAGTGGTAGGAGATATATGGAGTGCTTTTTACTCTAAAATAAAAGTCATGACTAGAACCCATGACATTGCTTGTGTGATAGCAGTGGCCAGTCTGGCATCAGAACTGGGGAAGGGGCAGTGAACAGGAGGAGACAGAGGAAAGGCTGCAAACTCCTCTAGGAGAGAATGGTATTGAGCCGGATTCTTCACCGCCAGCCCTTTCGTTAACAAGCATTTCCACACTTACACTTTGTGATTTGAGATCCATTGCTTCCAACAATCCTTCCCCTTCTGACATTTAGGATTCGTTACCCTAGTTAAGAACACTGTTGACTGTCTGGGTTTGAAACCAGGTGATATCACTTTATTTTGGGGTCTGAAGCAATCACCTAACCAACATGTCTTTGGTTTCTTCATCTATAGAATGGGTATAATAGTAGTACCTACCTTGTACATAGTTTTTCTGAGGACCACATTAATTGTTATTGCATAAAGTGCTTAGAACAATACTTACAATTAATAAGCAGTAGTTAGCACTTCTATCAGTGAAAAATTATAAAGATTTTTGAATACTAGCGTATAAGGCATCTTTTCCTATAACATTTTTTTTTCCAGAAAAAGGATTTTTTAAAAACCAGTGTGTTTCCCCAGCATGACTTTCTCTTGATGAGCAGGGGAACTTGTCACATTGCTGTCCTCATGTCCCCAATGCTGCCTTCCCCCTGTTAGTTTCTAAGCTCCTCCAAGAAAGACATTTCCCCTTTTATGTGACCTCTACGGAACCTATTTCATAAGTAGCAAACGATTAAATTGAAACTATTATTTTGTATTTGGAAAGATTTTTTTTTCTTCCTTTATATGATGCAAAGGAAGATCCCTGCTGTTTTATTTGTTCTTGGCAGAAATGCTGAATTGCTTTTGGGAACATTTCTCATCAAGCATACATATCCTGTTCCTTCACTAATTGGACACATTTATTGGGTGTCTACTACATGGCCAGCTATAGTCGAAGTTCTAGAGACTCAGTAAAGACAGCACAGGAAATGTCACCAACCACTTGGTGCTGATGTTTTAATGAGTAGAGACGAAAAATAAGTAAGCTTTGAAAAATACACAGATGCTAGCTATCCATGCTACAGAATTCTATATAAAGTAAGCGGAATAGAAAGACAGAGTGCGGAGGGAGATGGCTGTGTTATCTGTGGAGGTCAGGCAGAAAGGGGAAGGAATTTAGGGAGCGCAAATACTGAGGTGTGAGAACAAACCCGGACTGTTGAAAGAATTGCAAAGATGACAGTTTGCCTAGAGCACAGAGCACAGGAAAAGAGAGGAGACACTGGCATCAAAGTTCTGTTCACACAGATGGACGGACCTAGGGTGGGATTGTAAGGACTTTGGAATTGCTCCTCAGTGATGTGGGATGTTAACAAGTAGAGGAATTATGTTATCTGGTGTAAGGTTTTAGAGGATCGTGATTTAATTATTTCAGTATTGCCTCCATCAGATTCTGCAACAGGCTATTGAGAGAAATAAGCGATCATCATTTTTTGGTGTGTTTTCATTTCTTGACACAGAAAAACTTACCTTCAGAGAAGTGGAGTCGCCTCAAGAATTCAAACAGGGAGAGGACGCAGAAGTGGCCTGCCGCGTCAGCAGCTCACCTGCACCTGTCGTCAGCTGGTTGTATCATAATGAGGAAGTCACCGCTATTTCCGACAGTTAGTATTTTGGTAACTCCCTACGTTATATGTTCTAATAATATTGCATTTTTTTTAAAAGATAGAATCTACCTGACCAAATATAGAAATTGGAATTTTTGACTCTTAAGCATCAACTATTTTGAGGATCTTGGGGTTGTCAGTTAGAGGTCAGCAAATGATGGCCCTCAGGGAAAATTCATCCCCTTGCTGTTTCGGAAGGTGTTACAAGAATACAAACAAGCCCAATGGTTCCCTATTATATATGGCTGTTTAGGGCACAGGGTTGCGCAGCTGCAACACATGATTTGGTCTACAAAGCCTATACTAGTTATTATCTGGAGATTTGCAGACAAGGTGGCTCCTGCTCTATTCAAGGAAAAAATTCCATGGCAACAGTACAAGGATCCTAAGTAATTGAAGGAATTGATCCTGATGCATTCACATTCTAGGTATTATCATTCAAACATAATTCTGTGGGCTCACTATAGGTAAATTTAAAGTAACATCTATATGAATCCTGTTTATTATTCTGGCACTGTTCTTTCAAAGACACCTACATGTTCTAAATATTATGGTAAGGTGCATATAGATAATAGGAAGAAAAGTACATTGATTCCAGTTGTCTTTATGATTTTGATGTATACTGAGCTAAAAATCTAGAATAATATGACATCCAATACTGAAAGCGTAATTTGCTTACATTATGCTACTTTACCATTGTGCATTGGGAACATTTTCAATTTAGATTATTTTTCAATGCACCTGCATTTCAAAGACGCACAAAATAATGGAATCTTTTAAAATACTTTCCCTCTTCGATGATTTCATTTTGTGTTTCTAAGAGATGAAACTTTTACAGTATAAAGGAGAGAAAGCAGAATATCTATTTTTGAATACCAACAGAGAATACGTCATGCTTATATTTAATAATCAATTTCTTTTAATTTTGGGAATGGTTTGGCCTTAATATTTTCAAAAAGCTGACCGAAACTCTTCTGTTATAAATTAGTGAAAATAGTACTTTATTTTCTCTCATTTTATTTTAGGATAACTGTTTTACATTTTATTAACAAACTGCAAGAATAAATCATGCAGTACATCTTTTAGCCTTTTGCCTCTCAATAATAAAGAAAAGGCAGTCATTTTATGGTAGTTACATAACAATGTCTAAACTTTTCAGGTTGCCTAATTTGGCCTTTAAGTGTACATCTGGTTTATTGTAACCCTGAATTTAAAGAAGGATTTGAAGTAAATTATAGTTTTTAAAAGATGCATAGAACAGTCTCCTCAAAGCGGTGGTTGATGGTCAAGTGTAGTAGTGATACCTCCAGGCTACAGCTTACACATTTTTCCCCAATATCCCAGGATGGAATGATATGAAGCTGAAATTTCATTATGGTTGGCTGTATTTTTGGGGGGTGTGGGGGGGCTAACACTTAGAACAACTTGTCTAACTGTACCTAATTCAATTTCTTCATCTGTAAACTATAGGTTATTATATCCATTAAAAAAATGGTTGTGAGTTTTAAATAAGACATCAGGTATATAATAAATATTTGTTAATGAATAAAATATTTGTCAACATGTCAGTTTCTCGATAAATGGCTTGTTTTTTATTTGTTTTTATTATGGTTTTAAATCTTAGAAATCAGTTTTACCAAAATTATATGCATTCAGATTCTATCTAGAATCTGAAAATCCAATGTGAGGGAAGTAATTAAAGTAGATTTAAACATGAAACACAACAATGAGTTGCGTGGTAGGCAAAAAAATATATAAAAAATGAAAAAGGACATAATTTTTCTTTTCCTCTAGGATATAAAGATGTAGATGAATTGTGAGGAAGGGCATACTTTTCTAGCCTTTTAATATTGAAGGAACTTGCCACAAAGTTCATTATCCAACCATTTGTATGTTCATATTGATTTACAAGGAGTAATATTCTCCATCTGATTATACTTCACATGGTTTTTATCTCTTTTTTTAAATATATATATATATATTTTGTTTGTCCTCACCCGAGTACATTTTTTCAGATAGAGTGGCAGGGAGAGAGAGGAAGAAAGAGAGAGAGAAACATCGACGTGAAAAGGACACATCGAGTGGCTGCCACCCGCACGACCAACCAGGGCTGGGAACAAACTACAACCGAAGTACGTACCCTTAGCGGGAACCGAACCCTGGACTGTCTGGAATGCAGGCGAATGCTCTAACCACTGAGCCAAACTGGCCAGGGCTTAAATTTTTTTTTTATTGATTTTTTAGAGAGAGAGAGAAACTCAATGTGAGAGGGACACATCGATCGGCTGCCTCCTGCACTCTGCACACTGGGGATCAAGCCCACAACCCGGGCATGTGCCCTGATCAGGAATCAAACCAGGACATCTCAGTCCATTGGATGATGCTCAATCCACTGAGCCACACCAGCCAGGCCACTTGGTCTTTTTATTGAAGTTACTGGAATAAGATTAGGCTCGTAACTGTGGAAGGAACTTGTGTGAGGATGTAGGATGGTGTAGTGTGCCCAGATAACTTTCTGGAGCCCTAGTGTGGTATGGAAGTAAAGTTTTGAGGCTCCAGATGGAACAATGAAGACTTGGAAATGTCCACCTTATTAGCCATGCTATTGGTAGCAGGTGTGTGGCAGATATTCTGAGTTAAAATTCCAACAGAGTATTTGAAGTGGAGTTTTTCCATGTTGTTTGCTGAAAGGAGATTCATATGCTAAAGAATACAAGTCATTTTTTTTTTTTTATGAGAGTTTAATATCCTGACATTCATTGTTACCTTAATAGGGTAGAGAAATTAGATGATCTCGTTTGAGTTTTTGAAGTATCTGGATTTAGGTAATTATTTTATTACAGCATCAACCAACCCAGATTCTGAAATATGTTAGTGAGGGAAATAAGCAATACTTTCATGCTTTGTTTTACTTTCTTGATACAGAAAACCTGGGCTATTGCAGATGCCCATTCATCCTCAACCAGTTTGTAAATTATCTCTGAAACTTCCTAAATGTTTCGATTATTGCCTCGCAGAGTACCCTTTCTGTATCATAAACTATAGATGAAATCATAGTGTTCAATAAAACTTGTATGTAGTCTACTTCCAGATACGATTCATTCAACAGTTATTGAACACCCAATACACGCTACCTGGTATGCCAGATGGTGGTTATTCATGGTTAACAAGGTAAACACGTTCACTGCCTGCAAACTACTAACTGGTGGAAAAAATAAATAGATAAATCAGTGAAAACAAGGTATGATGATGTCTATGATAAGGAAAGTGCAGTGATAGAGGATGATAAAGAAAAAACCAACAACACCTAAACTAATTAAAGCAGCGGAGGGTGTCCAAGATGCCTGCTGAAGAGAGAGGTTGGCTTTGAATATGAAAAGGAGACAGGCAGGCAGAGAGTGGGGGAGAGAAGACCGTCTACAGTGGCCCAAGGGGAAAGAGCATGGATGGCACTGTTTAGAAACCAGAATAAGTTCATTATAACCAGAAAGAATTCCTGTACTAAGAGATAAGGTCCTATTTGTTCATGAAGGACTAATAAGAAAGGAAGTTGGAAAGAAAGGTTGTGCCAGGTCAACACAGCCTTGAAATATTGACTGAGGAATTTGGAATGTATCCCAAGGAGACATCACTGAAGGATTTTAATCAAGGCAGTGACATGACCTGACATACTCCAGAAGATTCTGAGTGCTTCAGTGAGGGAAATGAATTGGATGGTTGTCAAGGAAAAACTCCAGGTGCTGAGAACAATTTGAATCCTACATGCAATAACTGTAGATGGAGAAGACGATCCAGACTAAGTAATGATAACGGAACGGAAGGCGTGATAGGGCATGGGACTGATTGAGATGCAGACTGAGGCAGATGGAGAAGTCAAGGTGGACTTAAGAAATTTCACTTGGGCAAATAGTTCCGTGATTTATGATATTTACCTTGGGCCACAAGTTCAATGTAAAGACCTTAGAAGACAGCTGGAGAGAACCATAGGAGACATTCCCAGTGGCAGTAGTGAGCTAAATTTTAAAAATGGTGAGGTTGAAGTACTTATAACTCTATTCAGTAGGTGCATCCAATAGAATGTTAAACAGTTCTGGAATTCACCTAATGGTCTGGTCTGGTCTGAAGACAAATGAGTCTGAAAATATAGATGCTAGTAGAGGGCATCTGAGTAGATGAGACGAGTCATCAATGGCCGTGGAATGAAAACAAAAAAAAAAGGAAGACAGTGAAGAACCTGCTTAAAGAAGCATAAAGCAGCCCTGGCCAGTTTGGCTCAGCGGTTAAAGCGTCGGCCTGCGGTCCGGAGAGACCCGGGTTCGGTTCCCGCTAAGGGCACGTACTTCGGTTGCAGTTTGTCCCCGGCCCTGGTTGGTCGTGCGGGTGGCAGCCACTCGATGTGTCCCTTCACGTCGATGTTTCTCTCTCTCTCTCCCTTCCTCTCTCTCCCTCCCGCTCTATCTGTACAAAAAATGGAAAAATATCCTCGGGTGAGGATAAAAAAAAAGAAAAAAAAAAAAAAAAGAAGCATAAAGCAGTTACCTTATTGGGTATTATCCTATTCCATTTATTTTTCTTACACAAATAGGGAAAATTTGGGTTTCTGTATCATTGAGAAAAACAGATAATGTCTAACACTTAAATGCTTTTAATATCCATAGTTAATGTGTGGTTGATTGATTGCAGCAATGTTTTCTTCAAATGTTTCTTCAAACACATGCTAATGTTCTACTTTGGTTTGATAGTATGTTAACGTTGCATGGTCTTTACACACATCCAGTTTGACATCCAATTCTCGTGTACTTTGTTTTCTGTATGGAAAATGTGCATGTAATTAAACAGGTATAATGGTATGTATTCAGATTTCGAAGATACCTCCTGGCCTGAAAATCTTGTGTCTGTAGCTTTATAATCAATTTTCTTTCCCTTAGAGGGAGCTTCAACCCATTTCCATTTTCTATTAATTATCTCTTGCTCAACTGTTTTAATGATCACCTATCATCTGATCACTGCCCTATTTGTAATTCTACCCCAAATGTCTCCACTTGCACTGAGGATTCGCTATGGCAAGTGAACTCCAAATCTGAGCTGAATCTTAGATTGCCTAATGCCACAGCTGTTTATTTCTCACTCATGCAAAGTCCAAGCAGCAGCAGGGGAACCTTCAGTAATGTGTCCATTCAGCAATCCAGGGATGAGGGGCGCTCTAGCACTTCTTCATATGGCTTCCACATTTGCCCTGATTTCTTTAGCAAGCCTGCCAGTAAGGGAGGAGCAGTCACCATTAGAGTGGTCCAAAAATGTAATCTTTAACAGTATAACAGGAAATATTCTAGAGGTGTACACCTTAAAATAACAGCATGTCTACTTTACCAAAAGGCCCCATGATGCTGGGATGTGTCTCTCTTGCTCACCAATGTATCTCAATGATGGTACCAGCAAATGGATGATGTTAATGATATCTATGGATGCATTAACTAATGAAATTTAGGTTATTGCTTTTAGCACGTGCTTCAAAATAGGACTAGATGTCCTAAGATTCTTTTTTTTTTATCCTCACCCGAGGACATTTTTCCATTTTTTACTCAGATAGAGCGGGAAGGAGAGAGAGGAAGAGAGAGAAACATCAATGTGAAAGGGACACATCGAGTGGCTGCCACCCACACGACCCAACCAGGGCCGGGGACAAACTACAGCCAAGGTACATGCCCTTAGCGGGAACTGAACCCGGGTCTCTGTGGACAGCAGGCTGACGCTCTAACAGCTGAGCCAAACCGGCCAGGGCTGTCCTAAGATTGTTAAATTGATAAGGGAGAAGGTCTTCACACTGCAACAAAATTGTGCTGATTAAAAACTGAAGCCAGATATTATGGAAAATACTGTCAGGCTGAGATGCTGCTTAGCATGGCCAGATTATTTTAAGCAATCAGTAATGCATGCTCTACAGCAACTTATTTTTATATGAATGCATGTGCACACACATACACATATAATGGAACCTTGAAATAATATTAATGAGGACTGATTTATTCATTCCTAAAGTGGAATTATCTTGCAGTTAGGAAAAAAAATCCTCCAAGTAAATTCTAGATATGACCATTTTATCTGTCCTCTATGTGACTTGAATATTATTATATAATTTAGCTGCCTCCTCAGGGTACCCAAAATTATTCCTTTAATTACTGTGTGAGGAAGGACATTCAATCAATTTTCTAACCGTTTCCTATCCCCAGGTTGCTATACAGTATTTGCCATCAAAACGCTTTCATGTTTGCAATATCTAATCTCCCCACATTGTTCTTTTGTGTATCATTCCTGCATTCAAAGTACCAAGGGGAAAATAATAGCCTAACCATTTTATGTGGAAATAAAATCTTGAATGTATTTTAGAGAAAAGGTGCAACAAGGCAGTGTGAAGTGGAAAAATTGAAGTCACGAAATTACATTTTACTTTCAAATTTGAATTTGTTTGTTGATGAAATGTTTGATAGTGTCAGACAAGTGCCATATTTTTAACTCTTAGCAATTTGGAGCACACTGGACTCTGCCTTCAATTACTGATATAATTTCCTCCCCTTTGCTTGCTCTCCAGGCCGGTTCGCTATGCTAGCCAACAATAATCTGCAGATTCTCAACATCAATAAAAGTGATGAAGGTATATACAGATGTGAAGGAAGAGTGGAGGCTAGGGGCGAAATTGACTTCCGTGATATCATCGTTATTGTTAACGGTAAGCAGAGAATAATTGTTCATATTTTATTGCTTCGAGCATGTAAATTCAGCACTCAAGAATTCTCTAATAAACTTCTGTGCCCCAGGGAAATCTCCCCACCACTATGATAGCATCTGATGCATTGGATTATATCCTCAAGGGCAGGATCCATGACTTATTTAACATTGTCACCCCTTTCTCAAAGGGTCCTAAGGGACTAGTTGCCTTTGTTGACTTTGTACTTGTTGAAAGAATTTCAAATGAAACACTCTAAAGTATATTTTATTTTGCTTTGATATTACATGAAATACTTGTTGCTGTTACCGGAACTAATCTATTTGACAGTATTTGAAGGTTTTTTCAATTTTAATAACTGAATCTATAAGCTTACCCTTTCAAGTATTAATGGACATTAAAATCCAAGTTTCTGGTATCCTGATGGCATCCCCTTCATCCAAAATTGGTTTCTTCTATTATAGTCCCTGCTTGCATTAATGTGACATTCTCTGAGACCAACAGATATATTAATGTTCTCCTACTTGTCTCCAGTTGGGTAATCTAAACTGTTATCAAGACGTGATCATTGTATTTCTTTCACGTCTCAGATGCACTCTTGTCTCTTTCATCATGCCTTCCATAGCACAGCTCTGCCTTTTCCAGTTGTTTTTTTCCTCTCGAATGAGACTAATTGTGTTCTCTGCTCTTAATCTCACAATTCCAACTTCCCCATCAAATCTTTCTACTCTTAAAATTGCTGTTTCCCATTATATTCAAGACAAAATCAAAACCACTTTTCTTGCACAGGAAGCTTTTTATGGTCCAGTCCCTTTTTCCTAACCATTCAGCCATGACCAACCTATGCTTCAGCCACTTGGCAATACCAGTAGTAACACCACAAAAAATGCACTTTCTCTGGTTTGAAAAACCAAGTAAGCAAGAACTATAATCACAGCATCACTAAGCAAAATATAATCTGTTCTATTTAGAACAGACAAAATATGAATGAAAGAGCTAGCTACTTCCTTTGGGCTAGGGAAGGGACAGGGAACAATACTTCCATATCTTCCCCTTCTGTCCCCATGAGTTATCGCTCCAGTTGGTGAAGAGAACACTAGGAATAGCATGTAGATCTCAAAGAGTTACTTGGTATGTCCTTTCCAAGAGAAATAAAATCTTAAATCGCTGCTATTTTTTATTTCTCCTTCTCTATAATTAAATGGGACTTGTGAATAATAGCATGGAATGTGTCACATGGTATTGGATATGGAATGTAGGCTGGCTGGTAGAAACTTCTCATGACCCAAGTGCCAGGCCTTCAGAGGAGATCGAGCTTTGTAGAGCCTTGTTTAGGTGGGCAGTCTGGTCAGACTTTATTTATTAAGAGTAGCACAGTCTGTAATGGTTTTGACTTTCAGTATGGCGGGCAGATTTCAGTGCCTGATGGATGGGTTTAAGTATGGAGGCATGTGTCTGTGTCTGTATCTGTAAGGATCTCTAGTCTCTTTTCATTTTTATTTTTTTAATAAACAGAGCTAACTTACACTAGCTATTCAGATTGTTTATTATTGCCTTAATTATTGTTGTTAATTATTAATTATTGTCTACTGCACTTTGTTTGCAAAAGAATTCAAGGTGGCGTATAGGTGTGTTTTTGTCATGGGCAAATCCTGTGCTCCAAATCTCTCATAAATGTAAGGATTATAATATTTGGTAATACATGTAGTTTTTTTAAAAAGTGCTAAGTTTAATATATTGAATATTCACTATTAATAAGTTACACATGTATTCTATTATAAAATGATGAGCATCATTTTTACACTGCAACATTAACTTGAGTCTGATGTTAAGAAGGAAATGTCATCTGGCATTCATAGCATGTACACTACTTATATCCATTCTATTATTTTAATTTCTATTTTAATACATTTATACCTAGATTCCCGTATTTGTGTATTTATGATTACATTTATTTTGAAGGAAGAGTTAGTCAGGTATGAGTGCGTTCAGTTAATAGTTCAAGTTCGAATTGTCGAGCCGTTCATGGTCTGCATTCAAACTGGAGTTACTTAGTTCTATAGGTTTATATTATTATTTCAGGGTTCACAGGAGATAAACACTGGAATATGTTCTTTAAAGGCACTCAGATCAAACATGCAGCTTATGTCCTTTTTGTCCCTGGCACCCTGACCTTCCCCAAAGCAAAACAACTCCTTCCACACCCCAGTTTTCTCTAACTGAATTAACCAGAGAACCTCATCTGACCTCCTTTGCTTGAACAACGCGTTATCACCAGTTGTAATTAGTCACATTTTCCCCTTTATAAACACAAGCTCTCCTGCCTTAGAATTCTTGGAACCTCTTTTCTTCAAAATAACAGTGTTCACAGGATCAACCATCGATTCTCCCCCTTCTGGTTGATGCAGTCGGACTCTGCCAAGGGACTGCATCGACCGATGCCCCACACATCTTGCTTCCCTCGCAGGCCTCCTCTGCCTCAGCAGAGAATTATTCTGCTCCGGTTTTATTGACTCTCATCCTGCTAACTGGCTCCTTTTAAATCTTCGGCTCTCTTTAATCGGATCCCTGTATTATTTCTTTCTTATAAAATCTCTTGAAGCCGTTTCTGTGAAAAGTTTGAGGCTGCAAAAATAGTAGTATTACAAAAGCAGTACCTTTACCCTTATTAACTTATTTTCCTTCAATTATACAAATTGACTTGTTCTGTGGCCTTCTTCCCAAATCATTGCAAGTCCTCTCTCTTATTGCATTGGATTTTTTTTTTTTTTTGCTAGAAATGGGACAGTACTATTTTGTATTACATGTTTAATGGGAAAAATCTCAGAATTCACAATATAAACAACAGTATAGCATATTTTGTACTATGTCAAATTGGACATAATTGTTATAATTAAAAACAAAGTTTTATTTAGGTTTTCAGAGTATATATATATATATATATATAGCCTGTTTAACAACAGTTGATGATATATACTGAGCCCTCGTTTTTGTAGCAGAAATTCGACTTTGGATGGTGGGCACACAATGCAATATACAGATGATGTATCATAGAATCGTACACTTGAAACCTGTATAATTGTATTAAACAATGTCCCTGCAATCAATTTAATTAAACACAGTAAAAAATCAAACAGTGTAAAAGTAAGTTACTAGAATTGCAACTCGTTTTTATTGTCAGTGCTTTGGACTACACGCTGGACCTTCTGGCTCCTCCCTCCTCCCTCGAGTGCACTGCAGCCCCGACCAACGCTCCAGGTCACTGTTCCTTCACGGTTACTGCTTCCTTGCCAAACCCTGACTCTAAGGAAGCTCTGCTCTTTTTTTTTTCTTTGTTGATTTTAGAGAGAGAGTAAGGGAGATGGGGAGAGAGATAGAAACATCGATGAGAGAGAACATCAATTGGCCGCCTCCTGCATGCCTCCCACTGGGCATCGGGCCCACAACCTGGGCATGTGTCCTGACCGGGAATCGAACTGGTGACCTCTTGGTGCCTGGGTCGATGCTCAACCACGGAGCCACACCGGGCAAGCTCTGCTTTTTCTTCCACAGTTTGCTCTTTGCAGACTTTCCCTCACATTTCTTTCTTCTAATACATACTCCATTTTGTCAACAATCAGTTGAGACAGAGGCTGGCTGAGTTCTTCTGCTGTACCAGCCATGCTAAACGTTAAGCTTTCCGGTGCCCTCCGTGACTTCCTCTGTCCCTCAGTGCCTGTGTACAGTGGTCACAAGCGTGGCTCTCTCCTGCATCATTGCTCGTTGCCATATGAAGTGTGTTTGATTGTACATTTCCGTCGTGTCCCATATTCCTCGCTTTGCATAGTTAATAATTTTAATTTAGATGCCAGATGTCGTGGATTTTACCTCTGTAACTTGCAGAATATTTTTGTTTTTCTTTAAATATTTTAGACCGGTGTCCAGGAATACAGCTAAGTTACTTGGAAAGAGTTTAATCCTCTCCGTGTAGTCCTTTAAGCTTTGTTAGGTGGGAAGAATCCTCTGGGGCGTATGTTGCCCCACTTCTGCGGTAGACCCTTTCTGCATACTCTACTTGACATGCATTATGAGGTATTTTACAATTGCTCTGCTCGCTGTGGGAATAGAAACTGCTCTTTGCTCTGCTTGAGCTTTGGAAACGATTCCTTCTAATTGGGGAAGTGTTTTCCCTGGCCTTGGAAGTTTCTGGTCATGGCTGCACTCATCAGTACTCGTCTGAAGACTGGAGGGAACTCCCTGCAAATCTCGGGAAGTCCTCCTGTGCACCCCTCCTGTTTGGCACTGTGTCCTGTGAAATACAGCCAGACCCTTACCTCCCCACACCGCCACCCAGCCTGCCCGCCTTGCACACTCCGCCTGGCTCCTCCTCTCTGTGTTCAGCTTGGACACTCTCTCCAGCCAGCAGGCTGGGCAGGGATGGACTCACCTCATTTCCTCTCTTATTTCAGAGATCACTGTTGAATCATCTTGTTGATTGATTGGCAATATCTTGAAAACTGTTTCTTCATACAATGTGCAAAAAATTTTAGTTGTTTCAGGTGGTTCCCTGTTTCTACATCTTGGCTGGAAGCTGACATTCTTATATAGATATTTCAGTGTAGTGAATAAAATTATAAACAGGATATGTTAAGGATTTGAATAATATATCTTAGCGATGTGTCTTGTTCAGTGTGATATTGCTTACTTATACCTAAATTCTGACCTCAAAATATTTTAGTCCTCGTGCTGTGCTTAATTCAAAATAATTGCAGATATATGTATATGTTTCTATTTAAATTTTCCTCTCTGCTTATTATTTTAAGGTCACTTCCATTTAATTTAATATTCATTTTTATTTTATAGCCAGATGTCACATTTTTCGACATTAAAATATAATCATGCTGACTCCCTACAAACCCTCCCACCACACCCTCCAAGAAAAAAGTGGAGAACTTTGCACAACTTGAAAGATAGAATGCACAACGAAGTTGCTATTGTCCCCGAGTAACAAAGCACGCAGAGGA